GACACGCTCAGGCAGCAGAGCGCTGTGCTCCTGCGGCAGTGCCTGAAGGCGACGCGCGCGGACTTCGTCTGGCCCCTGCTGCCCGCGGAGACCAGGGAGGCCGCGAAGCCGTAGTCGCCGCCGCCGTCGCCGTCGCCGTTTCCGTCGCCGTCGCCGTCGTCGTCGTCGTCGTCGTCGTCGTCGTCGTCGTGGTCGTTGTCGTCGTTTTCGTTGTCGTCGTCGTCGTCGTTGTCGTCGTCGTGCTCGTGGTTGTTTTTGTCGTCGTTGTCGTTGTCGTCTTCTCGTCGTCGGGGTTGCCGCCAGGGCATTCGGAGGATGGATGGAGGAGGGAGGAGTGAGGAGGAAGGAGGAAGGAGGGATGAGGGATGAGGGACGAGGAGGAGGCGGAGGAGGAGGAGCAGGAGGAGGAGAAGGAGGAGGAGGAGGAGGATCGCAGTGTAGCGCTAATGCCCTTGAGGGTAGGCATGACCCTGTCAGTCGGATGGGGCACATATGCTCGCCCATCCTTGATGCGGTGCTCGTGACGGTTGGGGTGACAACCCTTGTTGGTCCCAGAGCCTGGGCGGGGACCGTTGAAGGCACCGTGTAGCGGTGGGTGGTACGTGTGGTCGACACCCGAGACAGCCACCCCTGTTCGACGCATTCGGTTAGGCGGTGGGGGCTTCGCGACAGGTCACGTCGCCGCCTACCCAGCAATTGATGAGGCGTGAAGCGTGTAACATCGCCTGGTCGGAGGACGAAGTGGCATCCCCAGAATAGCGTCAGACGCAGACTTCCTAGCCATGTAGGGAAGTCCTGTGGAAGCTCACCGGGTGCCGCAAGGTCAGGGCGGCCTGCTACCCCTAGCCAGTGCACCTGTGAGCGGTCCAGCTGAGCAGTGCAATGAGGATGCCTGAGGGGTGGTGCACGATTTGTCCGCCCCGCCCGTCGCAACAACCTAGAACCAGAGCGTGCGGCCGCGGGCGAGTGACAGAGCCCGAGTCGCTCTTTGCTGCCCCGAGGTCGAAGCAGCAGGAGGACACCGGTGAGCTGCCCAGGTAACCGGTGTTCTGCAGGTGCCCCAAATGGGGGCGCGCATTGTCCGCCCCGCGGGGCGCAGCCGCAGTGCACCGGTGAGCTGTCCAGCTAATCAGTGTCCTGCGGGTGCCCTGGGGGGGCACGATTTGTTCGCCCCACGGGGCGCTGCCGCAGTGCACCGGTGAGCTGTCCAGCTAACTGGTGTTCTGAAGGTGCCTGAGTGGGGGGCACGATTTGTCCCCCCCCACCGGCCGCAACAACCTAGATCCAGGACGTGCGGCAGCGGGTGTTTACGGATATGCCAGCACGCCCCAACCTAGCGATCGCGGCTGGGCCGTGACGCCCGAATCGAAGCAGATGTTCCCGAACTTGCCAGGAAATGCGCGATACCGAATGTTGTCGCTGAGGGTGCTTGGGGGGCCCATGTCGCTCCTCGTGGAGAGCACGGCCGATCCCCAGCCACGTAGAATAACCATATCGATCAGGAGCAGGAAGCAGGAGCAGGAGGAGGAGGAGGAGGAGGAGGAGGAGGAGGAGGAGGAGGAGGAGGAGGAGGACGTGAGAGGAGTCAGTGGAGAGGAGGAGGAGTGGAGGAGGAGGAGGAGGAGGAGGAGGAGGAGGAGGAGGAGGAGGAGGAGGAGGCAGTGGAAGAGAGGAGGAGGAGGAGGAGGAGGAGGAGGAGGAGGAGGAGGAGGAGGAGGCTGACGAACAGCGGCGGGAACCGAAGCGGAAAGCGCGGGAGGACCTCAGGAGCACCAGGGGAGGGCGGAGGAGGGGGGCGGCAACGACGAGGGTGAATTCGGATCCAGGAAACTCGGGAGACTCTCCATGGGGATCCCATGGGATCCCCCCCCCTGGGATCCTATCCCCCCATGGGTTCCCCCCGTGAAGAGTCTCCCGAGAAACTGGCACGCGCTGGAGCGAGAGCGCCAGTCTGAACGACGGGAGCCAAGCGCTGATCCCTGAAGTGGGGCCAGCGCTGCAGCGACAGCACCATCTTGAGACGCCGACGGCGTTCCGATTGTAACGCGCTATCGGTCACATCATTCGTTTCAAATCTTGTGTTGAAGAAATACACTAAGAGGGCCGAACCATCTTCCGGACAGAGTCAGGAGAGAGAGAGAGAGAGAGAGGAGAGCAGTCGTACTCATAAATGTAACTGTGGAGGAGGAGGGATGGGAGGAGGGAGGAGGGAATGGGGGGAGGATGGATTGGGGGAGTGGGGGAGAGGGAAATGCCATTGCAGGAATTGCTCTGTATGCGTACAGGCTCGTGGAGGAACGGGCGCTAGCTTACAGGGCCAGACGTCGGCTTCAGTGCGCCCATTCCGCGTTTGTAGCAGAATTCATACCATTAGAACTAGGCCTCCACTTCGTGACTCCGTGATTGATACTTGCACGCAGGATGGCGGGCAGTTAGCAGCAGTGGGTCGTTGATAGCATCTTGGCCCGAGATCAGAAGAAGGGAGGAGGGAGGGCGGAGG